TGTATAAAGAAAATGAAAAATTTAAATTTTCATTTTCCACTCTTAATTGAAGATGCAAAGTAAAGATAATGGGGGGACATATTTAAGATCAACAGATTTAAAAAATGAAGAAGTCATAAGAATATAATAAACCTAACTTTCCACTCGATTAAACTGTAAATGTTAATACTGTTATATACATGTATTATATATGCATATATATAGAAGATCTCAAAAGTATTTACAAAAAGAAAGTAGTCCGCTATATGCCAGGTGTTTCATAGTCAGTCAATTTAACACATACTTTAAACTCTTCTTTTCTATAAGAATCCCATGTAAAATTATACTTGGAACGTGATTCATGTGCATTTAACGATGCTTGCAAATGGTATAGAAATGTCAATTTTCAGACGAACGAGCGCCGGGCGAAGCCGGGTAGAGTATATGAATATATGTATATATGCGTATAGAATTTAGTATATACTAAATGATATACAACTAATATATAATATAAAGTAAATAATATACAGGTTGATATAATGGTATGCAATCGTATCGAAGGTTTCTGACCAAGACATGCCCTAGCTAGAAGTACTTTTAAATTGCTAATCATATTTGAAATGATTTAAAATTATCTAAATGATATATCATACTGATAAAATTGTTAAAAATATTTATATCATCTTCTAGTCTTCTTAATTTCAACTAAATATTATATTTAAAAAATAAAATGATTAATTGAACTTTTAGCTGCTCTATTTCGTGCACTTTGGTGCGGGTATTTAATAGCCGAGCGCAGCATTGCATTTGCAATTGAAATTCGGCTGCTGCTGTTGTCGTTGTTGTTGTTGTTGTTGCTGTATGAGCGCATCGCATATTTATAAAGTTGGCCGCCTGAGACATTGGCAATTGCAAAATGCTTTAAAATGTTTTTGCATAATAAAAACAACGCAACGACTAATTAAGCAAAAATCGAGCGATTAAAATACGAAAACATTGGGGTTAAAGCGAGATAGTGAACACATTGTTTACATACGATTAAGTGTTGGCAATATTGTTATTGTTGTCGTTGCTGTTGTTGTTGTTGTTGTTGTTGCTGATGATGCGTCATACTAGCGACCCCAACAGCTGCCACATAGCAGGCGAAACTCAACAGAATGCAAGCTAACAATTCGCCGAGCTATTTGCAACAACTACAACAAATTTACATGCCGCAATCGTGCTCATCCAAAAGAGCGTGCTAATGTGCGTGTGATTCACTCGCACAGACAATCAGACGACAGCCACAACGACAGCGACAACGACAACGACAACGACATCGATGACAATAGTTGCATTCAGGAACTCACCATGCAAACTGCTGCGGCTGCTCTCGCTGCGATGCAAGTCAAAACCATTCTGCAAGTTAAGCAATTTATAAATAAATATATCAAATGCATATGCATATATATGTATTCCACTCGATTTTGTATATATCGTTTGACGTACCGCTTCAACGTCCAGCGTAAGTTGCTCCATTGGCCTGCTGGCCATCTGTATCATGCCATTGCGTATGGTCTCCAAGCGCTTTGAGGCCTCGGCAGATGAGGTCAGATTGAAGCTATCGTTTTGGCTCTCGCTGCTGTCCTCCTCGGGTATGGCATCCCAGCGATTGCTGCTGCTCATATGGAACAGTCCATTATTGTCAAGTTGGCCCGAGTTGGTGGGCGTGATTTCAGATGAGGTATATTCGTTGTTACTGGAGCCAGTGCCCAGACCCGTTTCGTTCTCAGTCGCAGTGCCGTGCGCATTGGTGGGCGTTAGCTGTGTGGACGCCAGACTCATATAACTGGAGCTATAGCTTTGGCCATCGTATTGAGCGGCCACCGTTCCGTCGCTCTCTTTGGTCACAATCTGCAATCGTCAAATTTGAGTCAGCTGTCGCCTTGGGTAAGTGCTGATTCCGACTCACCTGTTGGTTGACAAACGCATACTCTAACGGCTTATCGGCACCAACATAGTCTTTGATAATCTCATTCATTACGCCCACAATGTAGGTCATTGACGGCCGATCCTCGGGTTTTGTCTTCCAGCATGCTGTCATGAGTTGCTCAATGTTCTTGGGGCAATTGTCCAGCAGAGGTGGTCGCTCGCCTGCAACAGTCAAAATGCACTATAACGAACGCATTCGAATTTATCAGAGTTTAGAGTCTCTTACCCTTGTAGATCTTCCACTGTATGGTGTAGGCATTGTCAATATCCTTAAAGGGCTGTTTCCGCGACAGCATCTCCCACAGCACAATTGCCCAGCTAAAGATGTCGCACTTCTCCGTATAGCTCGAGCCCTCAAATACCTTTGGGATAAGGGCAATAGAAACAGTTAGGTTTAGGCTTTACCTCAGGCAATGTGTGGGATGTCTTTTATTTGGAAACAGTCTTTATATATCAAATTTATATTTTCACTTTGCCAAATAAGAGACTATCCCACACATTTATTAATAAATAATTAAAAAAATACAAATATATTTTATGTAAAGTAAGATCTCTCCACACAATCCCTAACAATATTTTAAATAAATTAAAGCATTAAAGAAAATATGAAAATATGAATATCATTTTTTAATGAATTAAAAAGTAATATTTCTAATTTTGAATTCATTAACAAATATTTGCCTATTTATATTTATTGAGAATGAATTGATATATGATGTGTGAACTCTTTCAGAGTTATATGAGCTTTAGGCTAGATAATTAAAATGGTCTGAAACAATTTTTACAATGCTGTAAAATCTGATTAAACTATTTTAAAATATAAATTTAAAGTCGTCCAAAATTCCGTCCGTAAATTTAACAAATTCTGTCATGGCTAGGATAGTCTTCTATTAGTTAAAACATAAGATATAAATTGCTTTTCGCCCAAATCCAAGATAGACTTATCGAGAGTGAAGTGAAAAGATTTATGAACTCATGCATTAATGTTTAGCTGGCTTTTTGGTATCTCCTATTATCAAACAGTCTGCGCAAACTCATAAAATATTTTAACTGACTATCATAAGTTTGTATCCTTAAAATCTGATCTCTAAACTATTATAAAATACAGTAGAATCCAGTTAGAACGACTCCGATTATAGCGTCCTACGCCGTACGGTTATTGCGAAGAGCATTCGGCTACCGAGACAGAATTATAATCGTTATAACCGTATTCTACTGTATAGTATTACTCTTAAGTAATCTGCCTATGCTTAAGGAAACCCTTGTTCATGGAAAGAAAGCAAGGAAGTTGCAAGTGCTGCAGTTGAAACACCGCAGCGCATTCGAGTCCAGCTCACCTCAGGTGCCATCCAGGCAGCGCTGCCGCGATTGTTTGTCATCATGGTGGACTTGTCCGCCACGGTGCCAAAGTCGCAAATCTTCAAATTGCGCCCCTTGTTGGTCAGCAGCAGGTTAAGAGGCTTCAGATCACGATGTATGAGCGGCTTGGGAGTCATTTGATGCAGGTATGCGACACCCTGTACAAAAATAAGACACATTTTACTACTTGTTTCACATTCTAGGATGGATGGTAATGTGATGCCGCTTACCTCTGCACACTGGCGTGCCCAGCTCATGGCATGGGCCAGACTATAGGCAGGTTTCACTTTGCCGTGCAAGAAATTGTGCAGAGATCCGCCCTCGGCATACTCCATAATCAAGTATGTCGCCTGCTGGGCCAAGCAGATGCCGTGCAGCGCAATGATGTTCGGATGCTTGACTCGCGACAGCTGTTTGACCTCCTTCTCGATGTCCTTCTGTTCGGCACTGGCAAAGAACTCCTTGACGGCAACCAACTGATTGCGCCAGATGGCCTTGCACACGACACCGTACGATCCATGGCCGACTTTCTATGGGTAAGGAAGGAATGATCAGATTGGTTATTAAATGTTATGAAGGCTTTGGAATAACACACACCTCGCGTAGATCAATTTCTCTGAAGTCCACAGTGATAGTTTGCAGTGCATCTGGCGACGAGGCGGCCATCACCTGCTGCTGCTGCTAGCGCACTTCGTTKCTATTGCTATTCAATAATGCTGCTCCAGAGGCTGGCTGCTGATGCTGCTGCAAGTCTGTGTTGCAATTGAGACTGTTAGCTATTGTTTTTGGATCTGTTTTGCAGCCTGCCTTCGCTTATGTCAACCAACAATGAATCGCTGCGCACATCTTCCTAACGGCTAACTGCAAGGCTTGCCGTTGACCGTAACAATAACATTGGCAACTGGAACAAGGAAATTGCACTTCTATAATCACTTTAAGCTGCAATTGGCCTTTTCAGTGCTCTTTTTTAACAAATATTTCGCATTTTTTTCGTATTTGGCCACTTCGTTTGTCGCTGTCTGGCTAGTGGTTGGGAGCTCCGAATATCGTTGCTATCGATATTTTCTACTCTGCTTATTAATAATAGTAGGTATTAAAAACATTTAAATACAATTGTAATAAACAGGTAAAAAGTATTGTTACATTAGTTTAAATTGTTGTATTCAGGAATGCTTTTATAAGATTAAAATATATTCGTGCTCACGATATTTGTATCCAATTAAATTGGCAAACAAATTCAATTTCCAAATATATTGCCGATTAATATCAGTTTAAATAATCATGCACTCATCCCTAAATTAATCGAAGTACAGAACATATCGTTTTAATGTAACATGTCTATCGCAATTTCGGGCATCGACTTACTCAGCATATCGATATGTTTATCCATCCCTAACTCATACGTTCAAGCGCTCGCTCACCAAGCGGATGCAATTTCGGACAAGAAGAAAAACCATAATTTGTTATTTTTTTTTTACGCTCGTATTACACACTGCAAATGCAAACAAATAAGTTAACTGTGCTAAAGTATACACACATTGGTGATAACAAAAATCGAATGCCTCAATTACAACAAGTGTGCTGCCTGTGGCCCGCGTGAATCCGAATCGAAAGTGTGCGTGTGTGAAATTTGCTTTTGTAGCAAAAAAGAGAAAAAAGGCGAGTAAAAAAAGTGCGTCTAAATATATGAAAAGAAAAAATTGTGCGGTCGTGAGGGGGGGTGGTGGTTAGAAGAAACAGCAGTAGCTAGCAATAACAACAGCAGCAGAAGAAGCAGCATTTCCCCACGATTTTGCCAAAGTGTTGGAGGCGACGCCGCCAATTAATGCTCGTGCGGCCGCCTTCATCGTCGTCGTCGTCGTCGCCGCAGCCATTGATGCCGACGCCAGTGTCACCGCGGCAATAACAACAACAAACAGAAACAACAACAAATGGTGCAACGGTGAAAAAAAAAAAAACGAAATGTCAAACTTTTGCAAAGTTTGCATATCGAGAAGACGCACATAAAACTCGCTTAATTTTTTGGTTTGTTTTATTCAATTTTTTGTTCTCTTTTAATTTCTGTTGCTTTTGAATCGGTTTCTTATGTGTTTTCATTGAAAATGAACAAGTTCAAGTGAAATATACAGTTACCAAAGCACAAGAAGAAGAAGGAGCAAAGAGAGTCTCAGCCTCATCATCATTATTATCATCATCATCATCATCATCTCCATCTCGTCCACATTCTCTCTTCTTTTGTTTAGGATGTGTGCGTGTATTTTTTATGCGTGAGGAAGAGGAAGCGCTACCAAATATTACTCTGCAACTCTCTCTCTCTCTCTCTCTCTCTCTGTCTCACTCTCCTTCTTTGCACATGTGTGTGTGAGAGAATTTCCATTGCTAAGATTTTGTTTAGTACTTAATCTTGATACAGTTAGCTGCATTTTACTGTTTTTTTCTAGGGTATTTCAAAAAAATCAAAAATGCAAGTAAACATCCCCTGTCTTATTGCTTACAGGGTATCTGCTAGTCGCACAGGCTATGTTTTATTTGTTGGTCTGTGTTTTTTGAAACTATGTTGATCGTTTGTTTATTTGTACACTATTTAAATGTATTCTCGTCTCGATGTTAACATAAACAATCCAAAGAAACAAAAACGTTTTCATGTACTCCACTTCACTTGTYTCTCCCATTCCCATTCCCATTCCCGTTTTGTTGCATTTGAAGTTACGTTCAACATTATTCTTGTTGGTGTTGTTGGTGTTGCTGCTACTGTTGTTGTTGTTGTATTTGATGGTGTCTTATACGTACACACATCTCCACATACATAAACACACACATACACACATTTGTACATGAACAGCGAAAGTTGTCTTCCTGCTTTTTTCCCATTTTGTTCCTCAGCGGCATTTAAAGCTTTTTTCCTCGCTCTTGCGATCGGCTCACAATTCCTGTTAGCAAGGGCATATGCAAATTTGCTTTTGCGACCTTCTGCACACACACACTCTCTCTCTCTCTCTCTCTCTCTCTTCTCTGGTGCTCGCTGCTGACTCTCTTTATATATACTTAAGTACAACTGTCTCCCTCTCTCGCATAAAAGGCTACCATGCGACTCAAATGAATTGAAAAATCCTACATCTAGTTAACTATCATTAATTTAAATATTTTTGTATATATTTGTAGCACAATTATAGTACTTAATCCACTGATATATGTATATTTAATGAATGCTTATGAGCCATGACTCACAGAACTCACGAACTCTCTGCTTCAAGTCATAAATAACAATGGCCTGGAAACGTCCCTTCTCTTTTCATGCTTTTGCATACTCATCTCGTAATTAGGAATACGAAATGTAAACCAAGACGAATTAAAAAGATACAACGAATAACCCAAAAGAACCCAATAGCACTAGTACTACTTATATGCATACATATATATGTATAAATAAATAAATAAATATGTATATACATATATAGTACATTTCGTATATATAGGTGTTATGTGAATAAAAGAGTGCCGATATCTGTGCATATTTCATTCTCCAAAGTTCAACTGGGGTAAGTCAGTGTCCCTTTCATGTGCACACAATTTGTTATTGTTGTTGTTGTTATTGTTATTGTTGTCGGTGGTCGAATTGGCTGCAGTAATTGCCAGCATATTCATTTCCTATGCAAAGCGCCTTGAACTCGCGCTACAAAAACAACAAAGACAACAAATATTGTTAAAGTCAAAAAGAAAAAGAAAACACAAAACAAAACAAAACAAGAAGGAAGGTTAATCAAGCAACTAGGCAAGCTCGTTCGATTGTCCGTTCATCCACTTGGTCTTCGGCTGGCTTTGTTGTTGCTGAAGACGAAGACAGTTTAGTTCCCAGGCTCCGTTAATCCAAACTGTATTTATATATATGTATATGGATATATATATATGTGTGTGTATGCATCTGTATTAGCTGTGCTTCAAGGCTTTATGTAATTGTTAATATAATTTTGTAGCTGTTGATTTTTATTTTCATTTCTAATACCCTGTATTAGTTGTACGTGTGAAATGGGTATGCCAAAAGTGTGAAGATTT